CTAACTACTTGCCATAAAGACACACATTTTAAGAAATATTACACACAGCTTCAGATTTGTTCAAAACAGGGATCAGTGGCAGGTTGTTGAGAACATGGCAACAAACCTTCGGGTTTCATTAAAAGTATAGAATTTCTTGACTACCTGAGCAACTCTCAGCTTCTCAAAAAGGGTTCTACTCCATACAGGTAGTTTTGGATAATCACAAGTATACCTACATATTGTAAGCAGCACTTACTTATGAGCTTCCTCTAGTTCATCTCTTGGCTGTGCACAATTCTTGATCCCTTCTGAGAACACCTGGTTTGCTCGCTTTATATCACCGGCTTTCTCAAGTTCAAATGCCCATGCCACATAAAAAAATGCAGAGTATTTACCAATACCATGTGAATGACATGTCTTATATACCTCAAGAGGATCTTTTGACATCTCAATCTGGAACAAAGTGAGACTTATTTCATACTGACAGTACTGAAGCAATTATTTTAAACTTATAGTTTTAAATAACATCATGACATGTTCATTCCATAGTAAATAAGATTCCTTTACAATGGTTATTCAATGATGTCAATACTGACAGTAACTGTATAATGTTGGCTGGCAGGGTGACAAGATGATGCAAAGAGAACTGGCAAGGAAAACCGATATGGCGGAAACCCGCTCCAGTGCCACTTTGTTCTCAGTAAATTTCACACAATATGACCTGATCCTGGATTCAACCCAGCTTTTTGCAGTGTGAAGCCAGCATTTGGCATTTACTTACATACTTAATCCATAGTTCAATGTACCGTCGGTCTTGAAAGTATCGCTCATCTTCTTTGAAGTGTGTCAAGCACCTTTGTAATAAAATATTCAAATTTCCTTCCCGTCCATCTCTCAAGAAACTCTGCTCCACCCACAATATGTATTCATACCATGGTTCTATGGGATCATTACCTTCATACGATCGAAGTAATACTTCATATTTCCTGGAATATGACAAAAAAACATCACTGAGTGGGCATCCTTTCGAATAACTGTGCAACCTATGTAATTCAGGTTGGTGCTTACTCTCTTTGTTTCAGAATTTCATGACGTGCTTCTGAATCATCCTGGGCTAAAAGCGCGGTGCCTAATTGACAAACAATCCGGCCTTTCTTCAATGGTTGTATATTTTCCTTCATTAAATCTACCTCTTCGCCTGGATCCACCATTATTTCAGTTATTGTACGAACTCGGTATCCACTCCGAAAACTTGAAAATCAGTAAACAAACGTATAAACAATTCTTGTACATGACCAAATAAATTCAAACCCCAAAACTTGTTTGTCCTTGATGGTACACTAGATGGAAAACAATACGGACCACAGTGACAGTAATGAAATAAACAAACCTTCATAAATGTAATGTGTAACGGTCGTTATGCCTTAGAAATTGAAAATAAAGCTTTCAAGCGCGCTGTGAGTACGTTCATTGTTCATTAAAATCTGCTCTTATATCTCTGTGCTTATCTCACAGAGTACAGAGCAGTACAGACGCATCATAAATCATTTCATTCATAGATACTTGACGAAGTACTTATATGATAAACGCAAAGTGTGCATTAAATTTTTGTAATAAAAACAATTGAATGGAACTACCACAAAGTATACAAAATATGTTGCTACAACTGCGTAGTTATTCCGTACAAAAACTTATGCTTAAAATGGCGCCCAACGAACAACTGTACTAATATAATACTCTTCATTGCCCTAGATGGAAGTAAGAAATTATTTCTTAAGTCGTCGAGGAAAAGAACCTCTATAGGATTCGACTAACTATGCTTTCATACATCACGGTTCTTTTATGAAAGGATCTCTCGTTTCTAATATTCCTAGCTCACATTCAATTAGTGTCGAGGTGAAGAAAATGTGGAGCTATACATCTACCATCCCGTACGTCTTCATGGTTTAGAGCTTAATTAAGTAAGCACAGGGACAACGTTACCTCTTTACCATAACCAATTAGATTGTTCAAGAAAGTCTCTACCCTCATGTCAATATAGGGACCGATAGGGACTACCTTTAGGTAAAAAAATCATCGCAGTTTCCAGAGGTTCCAGAGGGAACAATATCAGCCTCCTAATATCATGTGTTTCTTTGCAGTCAGCTATATCTTTCTTCTATACATGCATCCCGCATACTAATTCTGAGGTCTAGAGATGAATTTCGAAGCAGTTGAAGAGTTTTGTTATTCGTAAAGTGTACACCCCAAAGTCTGGAGATATATTAACTTAGTTTTGAAGGATTTTATTATTTGCAGACCCTTATTCCCGCATTTTGCTTGTTAATCTGCGGATATTCTTCCTCATTTTCTGAAAGCCTGTGAGATGTCTTTTCATTCATTCATTCGTTCATTTATTTTACATTTCGTAGATCCACAGTACAACAGGTAGGATATGGAACACGTCAAGTGGTACATATATAAAAGACAAATAAGACAAAAAATAGAATAAAATAAAATGATGACAGAAATATAAAAAGTTCTATTACTAATAGTTTTAAAACTTGGCGACAATAAACATTGTTTTATTATTTATTTATTTCGTCTCTGTAGATCATTGCTACATGATATAGGACAAGTAAGTTAATGTACATTGGCTGATTACAATAGGAGAATAAAGTTATTACAATAGATTACAGTAGATTACAATAGTTAAGATTTCATATAGTGTAAGGTGGAATTCATATTAGGTCCCCTCGGCACGTCGGCTTCCATATGTCCTATTGTACCTGTACTGGTGATAATGCTTATGGAGAATTTGATGGAAACCATTTCAAACTATTTCACTTTTTACCAGATGCACTTATTTCATATTATTGCTCCTGATAGAAAACGGTCTGCATACATGTACAACGTGCCTGATCCTTCGGGATTCAGTGCCGTTTGTATTCCTGCGATTAATACTTTTAACAGGAGAGAATTAAGTGGGTCACCTTGCAAAACTCCGCCTGAACGGTTAATATCGTTTGTGTCATTTATCGCGATTTTGTTGTGTAACAGAATTTTTCCTACCTTGCTGTGAAGTGAACTGATAGGCTCATGGGTCAATTCCTCAGCCTAACATTCCTTACAATTTTCTTGCGAGTTTTTGTTTGTTTAAAAGATCAAATACCTTTGAATAATTGATGATAACAGCATAAAATTTTCCTTCTGGGAAGGTCAAGTCATGTTTAATTTTTCTCTTAGTGTACATCGGCCACAGATGATTGTGTTCGTAATTGGAACTAAAAATCTATGTGCAGAGTAGAGAATTTTCAGCACAGTAACGAAATTTCCTGGCTAACAGATGGCGATTAGCGTCCAAATTCGGTTTAATTTTTCGAAGTCTTTGAAGTCGTCTGCTTGAATATAAACAATAGGAAACGTAGGGGCCGTAGGAATCAAGGAGGCAAAATAGTAGATACAGTTCCTTAGAACAACAGCAGCAACAACAATAATAACTGGAACCTGATGAAATAATGTCTTTTAATGATGATAGCATTGATATTGTCACACCAGCAAATGCTGTACTTTCAGCTAAATTCAGAAGGTAGTTCTGCTCCCATATCACAGTGGCGTACAGTGTATATCTTTGTTATAATACGCAGATAGCATCCTTGTGAGATTTTGTTACCTCTTGTTTGTCCTTAAAAAATGTAAAATTATAGCCTTGAGAAATCCATGCCCAGTGTAGTCGTGAAGTTGTGTTTGTGTAACCTCTAAATCTTTATATGTGGCTTAAAAATATTAATCCGGCTGATTTGAATATGTTAGGCGTTTAACAAGATCTGGAAGAGAATCTTTCAACAATTATAATGGTATACAGGTTTTTAATAGAAAATTATATTATCACAGAAGTGTCTCAAACTAGGGCTGAGGTCAAGAAAACGTGGGCCTATACATCCACTTCCTCATATATCTTCATGGCGTAATGCTTAATTAGTTGAGCACAGGGGCAACTCTTTCATAGCAGTGCAGTAACCAGAAGTCAGAACAGTAATGTATTTTGGCTGTACCACCATGTAGCCCAGGAGAAATCTACTTGGCTACATGATGTTACAATGTGTGCTTCTACCAGATTATATAAAGTTACATCATGGAGGGAAGTATTGTCATAGTCACTGCTGTGAGAATCCTGAATCCATGGGGAGGGTTAATTTTTTTTTGGAAAATGAAACTACAAAAAAGTCCAATTCAAGGAACTTAAGTATTGTAGTTGAATATTGGTTTATTTAATGGATAATACTGTATTATTTAAGTGGGTTAATATTAGGCAGTGTTTTGAATCGTAGGATTATAGTTAATGATGCAACCAAGGGCCCATGCCTCTGTTGAGAATCATTCCGGTGTCTGGTCTCCATGTTCACCAGAACAATAGGCTAGATATTGTTACTACCAGAATATTTGATCAAATAATATTTGAACAGTAAGTTGTATTATTGATATATCCTAAATATGATCATTATAATGGCTAAGAGGCAGTAACTATCACAACTACATTTATAGAGTATGTTGTGCTGAAGTAAAGTATTTGAAAGAATAACAGTTACTTGTGATTTATAGGAGTTTTGCCTATCAGACAGTGCGGGATCGACTTCCTGTTACAATAACAAAAGTAATAGACAATTTAGTAAGGGATAAGGACCAAATAGTGCAAGATCTTGGTGAGGTAAGTCTGCATATGAGAGAATAATATACTACATCAAAATTTTTTGGGGGAAAAAACAACTTTTCTATTATTTCAGTTTACAAAAGAAGAAATGAAGGAGGTGATAGGCTCCTTTTCTAAATTAAAAAATGAAGTGCAAACCAATAAGCCATTTGAAGTGCTTACATCAGATGGACCAGATGTTTCATCATGGAACACTTATTATGAGAGGGAGAGAGAAAGAGAAGGCGAGAAACCAAGGTGGTTCCACACGTCATGGCTTTACGCAGAATGCTATATGTACCGCAGGATACATGAAGTATTTGAGCTGAGGTAAAGGAACAAATGTATTATGAATAAGAGGTAAAGTTGTTGGTTATAAAGTTCTGCACATACTGCAATTTTCATGGCTCTTGCTGCAGAAATGAATACAGTTTTGCTGCTTAATTGTAATGAATAATATGTGTAACATGTACAAACTGCGTCAAGTAAGAGGGCAAAAATTGTTAAAAATAAATGACAAATCCTATTATTAGTTCACTCAAAGAGGAAAGGGTACTTACTGTATTGTGATATCCTACCTGCCAATAAAATATTTCACTTTTGTAATGGGAGAAACATACGTACATAAGTATTGCTGGTGAATCTAAACTGAACTGACGTGACCTAAGCTACCTTTATATTGTCATGTGTTTATGGCTCCATGATTAATAACAGGTTCTAGATTGGATTTATTGACACCTTCTAGTACAATCTCACTTAATCACAATCAGTGACTTTCTAATGCTTGTTCTCTTTCTCATTCTCTTCATTCCGTTCTTCAACAACTGCCAGTTCAAAGTCAAAGTCACATTGCAACTGACGGTCAGTCAGTCAGTAAATCTTGGTGTCAAACCCCATCTAGGACTCATGACCAGATATTTATTACTGTTTTGACAGTTATAGTCTTGTTTTTGTGGGGCACCCTCTCTGACAAAAGGACAGATTTGTCTTTTGTATATGCTGCTGGCCTTTGCCACCACAGTCTTTCTCGGGTCCGAGTCCCTTTGGACTTGTGACCATATTTTACTGTCTCATGTTTGAGACTTCCCTTTTCATCGCCTCCTATGACTTGCAGGGTCATGGTGGAGGTATTTGACAGTCTCCACTGAACTCTTATATATCCACTTTGCATGGAAAACACAGCCTGTATACCACACTGTTGCCTAGCAATAGATCTCCTATTGTTCTGCGGGAATGTGTTTAGCAACCCACTGCCTAGCAATGCGCATGGCACGAACCACATAGAAAACAATTCTTGCAATACCTTTTCTATTGCTGCATGTGCATATTTCAGGTGTTGCAAAAAAATGGGTCTGCATGTCACAATATTAATCAGAATTTCTGGAAACAAAACTATGTTTTATTAATTATATATGGGATAGAACTGACATTGTTTTGTATCAAAAACAAATATTACTACTAGTAGTAACAACACTAGTGTCATGCTGTTGTAGTAACAGGAAGAGTGGCTGCGTCATAGCTCAAGCCGTTAGTTGCTGGCTTCCCGCCGTGGCGGCCCAGGTTCGATCCCGGGTCTGGTCAAGTGGGATTTGTGGTGGACCAAGTGGTGCTGGGGTGGGTTTTCTCCAAGTACTTTGGTTTCCCCTGCCAATCTTCATTCCACCAAATTTCCCATCATAATCACCCAGGGCAGACTACAATAGGCCAATCAGTGGCTGCCGTGCCAAGTGGACCCAGTTGGACTCCACCCCTCACTAAGCAAATCAAGAAAAAACAACAGGAAGAGTGGCATTAATGCCATGTTGTTTTTTACATCCTGTGAACAAATTACCTTAAGAACAGTTGCATACCTTTGGAAGATCTACTGAGACACGTCACATAAAGACCCCAATTATTGGTGCTATTATTACTCAAACCTCACAATTTAATTCTTCTACCATATTGTTATTACCAATTGTAGGAAATTAAAAGTGACTTGGAATGGTCCCTAATAGCAAACAGTTATACCATGTTATATTTCAGCGTCCTGTTGCACTGATTTAAGTCCATGATTTATTTCAACTGCAATATAACACACGCAGTCACAGGAGCAAGACACAACACAGAGTACAATACACCTACGAAAGTAGAAAGAGTGCTCCGACAGAAGAGGATAGGTGTGACTTGCGCAGTGAGATATGACGTACGGATGAAAAATCCTGAACAATTTTAATATTTTTAATATTTAATATTTTCCAATATATATGATAAATATATATTTTAGTTATTTTAATATGAAGACGGCAAGGCATGCAGTGAACTAGTTTATCGTAAATTGAATAAGCACCTGAAGATGGCACTTTTGTGCTGAAACATGTAGTGCGAGAGAGGAGAGAGATAGATGAGTGTATGCACTGGAAGACGGTTGAAATAAATCATGGACAGTTATACCATGTTTCATACAAATTGTTCACCTGGTTCAAAGTTGAAAGAAGGAACACAGGAAGGTGACCTCATAAGCCTATCTCCTTTACACAGAAGAGGAAAGTTAGACTAAAAATACGAGATCTATGCTTCCTTTATCATCTATAGTACCTTTTTATATATTTGTCCCATAGTACCAGCATGAAGACGTTTGACCCATTCAATAAACAGAAGAAAGATGCTTTCTTAAACTCACTAGATCTTATAGTTTTTCTTGGAAATCATGTTATGCAACTACTGCGGATGAAGAATCTGTCACAATTAGAAATGAAAGAAGAACTTCTCAGACTAGTGAAGGTAACTTTTATACACCATTTATTTTTGTTTGTACATAGCTGTAATTAGTTTAGGCTTGAAGAGTTCTACCTTGTGGGATATGCCATGTAGTTTGTTGAAAATAGACTGGGGCTGATTTTCAAAGGACTACACAATGTTAGATTCCAGAAGATACAACTCTTCACAACCAATGCTGAGAATCTCAGATTCTACATATTTTAGGCTTATTTGTAGATACTGTTTCTCCTAAAAATTAACTTCTTTCACAAGTGTCACTCATTCATAGCACTTCTTCACGTACCATGACTTAATATCATATTAATATACTGTGTGCCAGTTTACCAGTCACAGTATTTATAGTTCTGCAGGCAGAAGTGGCCAATTTTAACCTACTGATACAATGAAGAATCTGAGATACAAAGGATTATTCTTTTGTTAATCACGTGATATATTTATGCATTATAATTGCATGCCATTTTTAGTGTGGCCAGGCTTGCCCCATTGCTAGGAAATGTTTGTTGATTTCTCAGTGTGCACACGAGAATTCTGACACCCATGTATGAATGAATGAATATACTGGTACATTTATATTTCAAAAAAAGTTAAAATGATTTGGTTTTTTATTTGTCATTCTATCTCATCTAATGGAGTGCCAGAGGCAGATCCCAAACTTCTTTCCTGTTGACTCATGACATGAGGTGATAACGCTAGGGAGACTGTACCTGCAACCTCCTTGTCATCTCTTAATCCCTCTGCAACCCCTGTAGCAATGTCAGTATTCACCAGAGCCCTCATTCCTGGTCAGACAGAATATTATACCTTTACACAGGTTTATCAAAAGTTATAACATGAACAAGTTATTTTGTAACTCAGCTGTGTCAAATTAATTATGTTCATAATCTACTTATAGGTGACCTTATGGGGCAATCAGCACGATTTATCACATCCCACTGGTTATAAACTTCCTGAGGAAGCTAATCCTCTTGAACATATTGATCGTTTAAATGAGTATATTTTAATTGATGACTCACACCACATTTGGTCAACCCTAACGGCTTCTGGTAAAGCCAATGCTGTCATTGGTAAGAACTGCCACAGTACCATATAGTAGTAATATAATTGTGTCAGCCTTGAGAAGACAAAAATGGTTCTACTAATACTGGACCTGGTCTATGTATATATGCATACGCAGCTAAAATTTTACTTCAGAATGGACAGGAAGGTAGTGTAAATATGCACTGCAAATATGAAACGATAACAGATTTAAAATAAGCATCTCCGGAACTTAAGTTATTAAGATAGGAGAGGCTTTATACTGAGCAACATACTCCTTTATTAGGTATTCAAGTGATAAGGAATGGTTTCCATCACTTTCATCACATTTCTTTCCTTCTGTTGCAGATATTGTCAATGACAATGCTGGATATGAGATTTTTACAGATCTCTGTCTGGCAGATGTTCTGTGCACATTCTCTTTGACAGACAAAGTGCGCTTCCATGTAAAAGCTCTGCCATGGTTCATATCAGACACTACGAAGCATGATTTCTTTTGGGTTCTTCAAAAGCTGGCTGACCTTTCATGTAAGTCTTCAAGTTTGCCAGCACTGGCCACTAGATGGGAGGAACATTTACAGTCAGGAAGATGGGTGGTAGAAGCTGAAGACTTCTGGACTTTGCCTCATGCTTACAACGAGATGAAAGCAACAGACAATAACTTGTACACTAAACTTTCTGAAGCTACACTGGTGATTTTCAAGGGTGATCTCAATTACCGAAAACTTGTAGGTGAAACGAACTGGTTACCCACGGAGAGTTTTACAAATGCTCTTCAAGGTTTTCATCCAGCTCCTTTGGTGACTTTACGAACCTTAAAAGCAGATCTTATTTGTGGTCTTCAGCCTGGACAAGCTGAAATGACAGCTGCAAAGTCACATAACTGGCTCACAAGTGGAGATTATGCTGTTATTCAGTTTGATGGGTAATGAGTGTGGTTCCTGGGGAAAAGCAAGAGCTATACTGTTTGATGGTTAATATCTATTTAACATGGTTCATTAACTTTGTTAATGTTATTCCTTTTTACCTAATTGTCTTTTCACTTTTATTAATGCACTAGAATTGCTAATAAACCCTTTGAAAATGTGGTAGAGTTCAGGGATTTAGGTACAACAGTAACTAATCATCATATTTGGAAAAAGCGTTTTTTTTAATTGCTAGTAGGCTGGGACTAAGTCCCTTGTACTGCGGCCACTGTTTGGCCTATTGTACCAGCCCCAGATCATAGGTGAGGGTGATTGTGGAGCAATTGGTGGAATGAAGATTGGCAGGGGAACCGAAGTACTCGGAGAAAACCTGTCCCAGCGCCACTTTGTCCACCACAAATCCCACTTGACCAGACCCAGGATCAAACCTGGGCCGCTGTGGTGGGAAGCCAGCGACTAACCACTTGAGCTATGGCGCAGCCTGGGAAAAGCATGCTACCATTCATTCTGTTCCAAATCTTTCTGTCTCTGTGGCTGTTTTCTCTAAACCTAAAGGTATATATGAGGCTGTACTTTACCTGCTGTATCAAATGGATGTGAAAGTGTCTCAATATGTATGTATTTAAGAAAATAGAACTGAGGATAATATCTGGACTAAGAGAGATTAATTAATGGAAGAATGGGGAAATTTACGAGAAGCTTTGCAATGTGTACTCTTCACCCAATATTGTTAACGTAATTAAATCAAGAAGTGTGTGATGAACAGAATATATAACATATGGAAAATGATAAATGTATATTAAAATTTTTATTTGAATGTCTGATAAGAAGGGATGATATATGTAGCATTCTTTCTTACCAGTACAAACAAATGTTTTTTCTTTAGATCAAATTAAATTGCTTATAAAATGACATGGAACATGCACAAAAGTAGCAGACCTCATGTATGGATGAATACAGTTTTCATGGCATTGAAGATTCACACTGTAACCTTCTGGGTTATAACACCATGGAAATATTGTGGCATAACCAACAGACCACAATATGAGCAGAGATAACATTTTCCATATAATGCATCATATCCTGTGTGGAGCAGCAACAAATGCTATTCAAAGTTGCCTTTCTTAGTTTACAGTCATGTTAAGAAAGAGGCTGGCCAATTCTAATATTAAAGATAACATGTAAAGAAATTTTATGTACATATTTTATCACACCAATGGTACAGCCTCTCCCCTTCATGTTACTGTATGTAGGGGTTTGAAGTATGCTGAATTATGCTAGCAATACTATTTTTTGTGTTTTATGTCATAATGAACAAGAATAAATACCCTCAACTCTTTTTTAAGAAATAGAACTGTACTTGAAGGCAGGTGTTATTATATTTAACAGATAATGGTTAAAACCATACTGTCACTTTCACTTACAGAAAGAAGAGTATATAAATCCATCTATTTTATTTAAATATATACAAACAGAAATAAAGCAAAAACATATAAATATGATAGGGTAAATCAAGCTAATTAAATTCAGTACACACAGAAACTTTCATGGCAAAAGTGATAAATATGTCATATTGTTCCTGTCATGTGCTTTCAAATGACAGTGAATATTACAAATTATTTAATAAAAATAAATAGAAAATTTCCAGACACAATGATGAATACAACAGAATTTAATATACCGCAAGTGTTCAATTACATGCTGGACTTACATATTAATCTGGGTTCAAACTGAGTTTAGGTACCAGCAGATCTGTTGCATATAGTGACCAAGCCCCAAACAATCTGGGTTAACAGCATAGAACTTGTAAACTTGATAATGAAGACACTAGACTGTTTATCTGATAACTTTCACTGAATCAGTATCTCTCAGGGAAGCACAATGTATTGAAAACTGAATGTTTTAATTTTTGTCATTGTTTGACAGAAGCACAAATTTAAAGCCATGCATGTTTGATTCAATGCCAACACACACACATGTTAACTTGGGTTCGAACTGTAGCCAGGTATTTGCACAAAAAGCATAAAGAGAAGCTTGGACTTACTTGAACATTTATGGTATATTAGAAAATATATGATTTGTATAAAGATGTTACTGCATAAACAAGATTTTAGCTGTTTCTTGGTCTGAAATGTCCATTACCATTATGCCCCATAAATTCAGGCCAACTTTGCTGATCAAATGGCAGAATGGTTGAGCACCTCTCCCCTGTCCCCACGCTCCTACATCTGCAAGCAATCCTCAACCTGTATACTGTAGCCTGGCCCATGTTGAGGCTGAACTGGCCAGACACAGAGTCCACTGGTTTCTCTTCCCATTTGTAGTCAAAGCAGTCCTTTGCAACCATTTCAGCATCAAAACTGTGATATTTACCTGAAAATAAACATATTCTTGGCAGGACACCTCACATAAATTGCAAATCCAACAGTTGGTGTGGTATTAACCAATCAGACAACCACTTGGTCTTATAGTGACACATGATGATGAAACTCTTTCAAATCTATCTATACGCTCTTCCTCAGAAAGTGCTCTCTACTATCTTAAATTTCAAATTCCAGATTTTGCTTTTGTAATAAATACAATGAACATGCTTTCTATAAGTTTACCATTTGCATTGTTGATGTCTGTTTGTTTCTTCTCTAGGCATTCCTTATACTTTCCAAGTACCAACTGAGCCTCAGTCATTGGATATATCCAGTATGTTACAAGTACCAAGTCAATAGTGTCGTTGTTGCTCGATGTCCTGAGAGGTGGGGCCACAGTTCCTACAAAGCAGAAAGAAAGTTATTACCACAAAGTAAACATGCTTCATATGACAGAAGTAACTAAGACTCAGGTTATGGCTTAAGTAAACTAATTCAGTCATTAAATAAATCTGCATTAATTGATCTTCCTTGCTGATCACAGTGGCCGCGTGGCCGAGCACTCCGAGCTCATAGGTGAATCTGACTCAAAGCATGGATGTTTGTCTATGTTTATTCTGCGTGCGTTGTCCTGTGCAGGTAGCTGCCTTGTGATGGGCTGATACCCCATCCAAGGAGCCACACCAACTGGGATCAGTGTATAACTACGCACGCACACACAAAAATGCCCAGAGTCACACCTTCATTGCCGTTGCTCGATAGCAGCTTCCAAAGGTGGACATTCCCCTTCCTCTAGGTTCCTGAAATGTCTCCAGCCTTAGCTACCAGCACACACGCGTGCACACACACACTAATGTCCCGAGTCGCAGCTTCCAAAGGTGGACATTCCCCTTCCTGTAGGTTCCCAAACTGTCCCCAGCCTTAGCTACCAGCTTCTAAGAGGGACAGCAAACAAATGAACACCAGCAGTTCTCTAACTTGTCCTGGTTATAACATCTCGGCATGGAATGCGTAGAAAATGTCTTTTCCTTTACTGCTGTATTCTTTTGCTGCCATGGAAACATGCTTGTATGCAGAACCATTATCTAGCAATGGCTATTGTATAGTTCTTTATTTTGCAGTCATTGCCTAGCAATGGGTCTACATGCCACAATATTATTTTCCTGTATTAGTGAATTTTGACTGTATTTAGTTTAAGAACAGTTTTGACTTTCCAGAATACATACCTTTATTTACTATGACTGCAGTTGAAACAGTTAATGTTCACATTTTCTCTCTGCTGAAAATCTTTGATGCACAGCCATATCTTTCCAAGTGATGTGACATGCTGAAGTCATGCCATTTGTGCATCATTTATTGCTCTGATTCCCAACTGAGGTTCTTTCAGTGTTTACTTAATATTTAATAAATTATTTTGGACATTATACAACTGCATTTACTTGTCTAAACAAACTTTCTTAAACTACTTTTGTAAAAATTGATTAATTCTATACAGTGACCATTATACCAGGACGAAAAGTTTGACATAATTCTACATAACCCATGTGGTGAGACCTTCAATCAGTGTATGAATATGAATTCCTTCAGAGATTCATTACAGAGGAATTTCACTCCAACACTACAATGAAGCATAGCAATGATTCTTGATTTTAATGTTTTCTTTCATAGCAAACACCTTGAGAGCAAAAATAAGAGAAACAACAGATGCTCACCTAATGAAGTGAGTCGCTGCAAGCCATGCACATGCTGTGCATCCCTCTTGACTCTCCTGTACACTGTTCTCTTTTCCTGCTGAGTGTCTACCGGAAAACCCTGCTGACTGCCACCAAGTGACTCCGCATTCATGGGGCCATACAGAACTTCATAATCAGAGTCTCGATTCTGTCCTGGATTACTGCCCATTAGGTTGGTGTAAGTCAGCGGAATGCTGCCTTCTTCTCCCTGCTGCTGCCATGTTTGTTCCAAGGGGTGAGTACCTCCATGTTTCCTCACATTTAGGTATTCACTATTACCTGCACCCAATATTCATACTTCTGAAGGCTGTTACTTTCAATAATTATTATAAAGAAAGTTGTACACCAGTTTTCAGTTTGAACTATATTTTCCAATTTTACACTGCAATTTCTTATCCATTTCTGGTTCGAATGTTCATTTATAGCAACACAGTACTGTTTACAGCAATAATAAACAGTAGAGATACTGTGTCATTTACAGGTATAAATGTTTTGTCCTTATATTTCATTAAATTGCTCCATGTAAAAAGGCCAGAATTAAAATTACAAATAAGATAGTTAAACATGACGTTGTCCCTATGCTTAATTAAGCATTATGCAATGACAACATATGAGGGTGTGGAGATACAGCTCCATACATTCTTAACCTTAGAACTAGATGGTCAGCTGTCTACTTTACCCACTGGATAAGAGGTTGGGTAGGCTCCAGTGCCAGTCTGGACATTCTGAAGAAGAAGAAAAAATGATACCCCTACCAGGCATCAAACTCTGATTCATCAGTCATCCAGGCCATAGATTACTCATTTTGCTGACTTGAGTAATGCATTTTTAAACAATAAGCCAATTTTGAGGAACATAAAATTAAAACACAGAGATATTGGGTTTTCGGCCTTTATCCATCGTCCTGGTTTTAAGATAACTAAGAAAAACATGACGTTTCAGAAACTGGATCCGTTTCCGTCCTCAGGTGAAGGAAAACGCTTATTCTGTTGGGTCCCTTAGAAAGAGCTAGCCTCAATGAGGAATCACCTGAGGACAGAAACAGATCCAGTTTCTGAAATGTCGTGTTTTTCTTAGTTATCTTAAAACCAGGATGATGGATAAAGTCCGAAAACCCAATATCTCTGTGTGTTATAAACCATCGTCAGAATCCTATTGTAATACAATTAAAATCATATGGCAACATTTCATCAAAATCTGTTGAGTGATTTAGAGGATAAAACATGGGGACAGAAATGGTGAGATACAATGATCTCCCATTTATGCCATATGCTTTAATGTAGTTTGTAGAAAAAAATACATATGAACCTTCCTCTAAGTACGTTGAACCAATCATAATTCATTGATACTACAAAACAACGAAAATTCAATCAAAATACTGTTCTTTTCATACTCTTTTAGTTTTGGACTTGTAAATGCAAACATGATATATTTTATAATACATGGTCAAACTGCAATGTCTTAAAAATGAAACATATTTAGTGGACGTGAACAATGCACTGAGAAGTCTTCAATGTGTACCAGGTGCAACACAAGAAGCCTCACCTAAACATGCATCAAACTGCATCAGAGGCACAAAAATTCAAGTTATCAGCAACACTCAATTTACTGGAAACAAGACTGATAATGTGTGGACTCGTGCACTTGTCCTAAATGAGCTTTCGGATGAGCAACAATGTGATCACCTTGGAAGTCTGAGGCCAACGTCTCTTCTTGTTCTCCAGCATCATTTGAAATTCTATTCTGCCCTTGGTTTGCTACCAAATAATCACCCTCATTATAGAAGTAATTGGAGCCTTTCCCTTTGACATTGTTCCCCAAGACAGAATCATCTCCTCTGTGACGGAAACTAGAGGCTCCTGTTGTATCTCCTTCAAACTCTTTCTTCTTGTTGGAGATCACTGTGTTACGGCGATATGCATCTAAAAAGTCTGGATGCGTATCAAGGTAGTGATGAGCCTGGGCAGATGTGTTAACAGAACTGTTGTACTCCAGTTCTCTGCGTTCTTCTGCAATATAAAATATCTGGGCTGTACATAGGCAAATGGTCATATAGTACACGATTTCCTTCTATGTAATGTTGAAGGTGCAGCTTTTGTTTACCTAAAGTTAAATGGAAACTTAAACAAGGCAATGTAACACTGAGTTTATTGACACAGAATCATTGAAACTGAGGGAAAACTTTAAGCAGGGGAACATTAAATGGGGTTCTACTGTATATGAATTTCATGCAACATGAAAGTGCCCCAAACATAAAAATGATTTGATAACAGCAGTCTTAGCTAATGCTGAATATACTGGCTCAGTCAGTTCTTTACTCATGTTTATTTGTTACTAAATTCAATTCTGAAACATGTGATCCCATTTCAGGATTTTCAACTGCTTATTTAATAATGACTCTAACAAAAAAGCATAACATAATATTGCAACTCATGTCAAATTTATATTTTTGCAATTTGTTATGACTGAAACATACCTGATGAATACACAGCAATTCCTGGTGGCTCAACATGCTGACTTAGGGCTACAAACTGTGTGGAGAGTGTCGAGTTGAACAGCATTTGGCACAAGTCCGCCCTGCTCTGAGCCTGGATGGATGACCCTGCAACATGACACATATGAACTGCTTCCTAATTTCATGATGCATAATCCTTCTATAACGTACACAACTGCTCATGTGGTCATGAAATTTCAAGCTTTTATAATAAAATAACAGTTCATCACTGTGTTCACAAAAGCACATGACTGGACCCTATTCTAAGCCAAGAATCCAGTTGACATCCTCACATCCTGTTCCTCCAAGATTAATTTCAATACTATCAACACCTCCATTCATTCTAGGTGTCTCAAGTAATCACATGTTTTGTTTTCTTTATTTTTCTTTAAAACTTTATATGCAGTTCCTCTTTCTCCCATACTACACATCCTGACATCCTCAATTTAATCACCCAATTAACATTAGGCTGGAAGCACAACTATAATGCTTTCAAATATGTAATTTTCTGCATTCTTAACCCTTTTCTTAGGTTCAAATATCCCAGCATCCTTTTATCCTACAGTTACTTTTCAAAGTACTTTCACATAACTCTGCTCATACCATTTTGTTTCATTTGCACCCTAAATCTACATCTGTCCATTAAAGTAAGTAGAGGTATCCCTGTAACAGGCCATGGAGGCCCATAGGGGTTGTGAGAAGTTGACGCTCTCACATTTTCTCGACAACCGGCTTATAGATGGCAGTGAGGTTGTCAACCTTACGCACCGGCCGCCCTTTACCCCCAGGAATATTCCTGGTACTCATTTCTGTTAGAGGCTGAGTCAACCCCAGGGCCACAGTGTGACTGGAAGGATTAAGTAAATTGGAAAAATTCAATGACTTCATTGGGATTTGATCCCACGACCTTCCGGTTTGTAGCATAGTGCCTCAAGCAACCATACTACCATGTACCCCCACATCTGTCCATTACATTATATAAAACAGAAGGTAATAACAAGTTATGCCTGTCATTTGGAACCCTCTACATTCTCTCTGTTCCATTTTATGCAAAGATACATAACCAAATTAGGTTTAAGGCCATGCCATAGCTCAAGCGGTTAGTCGCTGGCTTTCCACCGTGGTGGCCTGGGTTCGACTGTGGGTCTGGTCAAGTGGGATTTGTGGTGAACAAAGTGGTAGCAGGGCAGATTTTCTCCGAGTACTTCGGTTTCCCCTGCCAATCTTCATTCCACCAAATTCTCCATCATCATAATCACCCAGGGCCAATCAGTGGCCGCTGTGCCGAGTGGACCCAGTTGGACTCCACCCCCCACTAAGTGAATTAAAAAAAATAATAGGTTTACGGCATACCTAATTAGTCTGAGTCACTGAGAGTATGGTGCAAGTAGTACATGGAATAAAAACCTGGCATGAAGCTGAAGGGCTTGGTAGGTCCCTCATGATGCAGGCAGTTAGCCGTCCAATACAGCAGCAGGTCATTGCCCAAGCCTTCCACACTAATGCTAAGTCCACCCATCTGGGAGCCTGCAGTGTCCACAACAGGCTTGTCCAACAGTGGGGTCCCTGTCTTTCCATCCAGTACTGTAGTCTGCAGCATATATAAAGCAATTTCTTCACAAAAACCTTAAGTTACATATTCTGTCTATATCTATGATGATGATGATGCAATATAATCAGATAGTGCCAAGGATCATCGTTTCATCATGTCTCCAGTAGCATATTATTAGAGTACGTTTTCAACATAAAATGCATATCAAAATCACCAAACCAGAGATATCATTGAACATACAGGGCTGTTCTTCTATAATACTGCTTACTTAAGGCATGATGTACCCTGTATTTTAAGGATTGCATTTATGTGCAATGTTATCTACAGACATGAGCTGGCCCCACAGGATACAAACCCCTTCCTTCAACATGAAAACCTACCTTGCTAACTCCAAGAAGCAGAGTCCTTCTTGAGACCCTAACAGTTTTCTGGTAGTCAATAAATTCCACCCCATTTCTACAGAACTAGGAGGTTCATTATTGTGTTCACAAGAGCAAGACTGATTTTAATATTATCCTCCCATTGGTGTATCATGCATGCAGATGTAATTCACATTGCCCTGCCCTGAATGCCTCAATATCCAAGGGGAAACACAGTAATAACCAATCCATTTAGTAACAATTTAAGTTTGACGCTGTTTTGAAACATGAATTAAAATACTGTGACGTGTTGCGCAACGGTAATAGGCAGGTCAACATCCTCCCTCCCCTCCCCCCGCCAGCGGTGACGTGCCGAGCGGAGCCGAGTCCCAACACACTGGTCACTATGCAATGCGGATAAACAGTGGTTGCGAGAGACGACGGTAGCAACAGTGATGCCTACTACGTGGCTGTTTTCTCGTTGCCCTGCTGAGTGTTTATAAGGAAACTACATAGCGGCCGAAGAGAGTTCTCAGTTCGCAAGTTACGAGTTACAGACGCGTGTGTGAGAATCAGTGATAGTTCGTGATAACCAAGTAATAATTGGGAGTGTGTAACACAGTGACACTTGTATAGCTCCCGTACTGTGAAACGTATAGACTACGGACAATAGAGTGAATTGAATATCGCGAATAGGGTTATAAAGTGTGAAACCCCGCAACTTTGTTATAAGTAATTGTAGCCAAGATTTGTAGGTTGTTAAATAAACCAATTAACGATTTCTACGGCATATTCAGTAACGAAACACGTTACAACTATATTAACTACCTTCGTGATGCTGAGCCCTTCTTGAGAAGCTGCCAATTGTGCAGCTACTCAAGAACTTCCCAGCATTTTATGGAACCCAAATGTTCATTACTGTGTTCGCTAGAGCCCTCCACCAGTCCCTATCCTCAGCCAGATCAATCCAGTCCATACCACCCCATTCTATTTCTTTAAGATCCATTTTAATATTATCCACCCACCTACATTTTTGTCCTCCTACTGGTCTCTTTGCTTCTGGCCTTCCCATAAATATCCTACATGCATTCATCTTCTCCCCATTCGTGCTACATGCCCTTCTCATCCTCCTTGACTTGATCATTCTAATTATACTTGGCGAGAGTAGAAGTTATGAAGCTCATCATTATGCAGTTTTCTCCAACCTCCTGTCATTAAAAACCATATTTCACAACATAAATACAAGGACTGGTTAAGCTAGTCCCTTGTTACGAAGCCTTCCTTTTCAAACCGAATGTGTTAATACTTTCACATGTTAGCTAGGCATTTCATTCAGACTGACCTATAAACCCCTCAAAACTTCCTGGTATACGAGGGGGGACCCAAAAATAACCGGAAACGACCTGTTGCGCGTGCATGCTTTGTAGTTATGAGTTGTGCTGCTAGGTGGTGTTAGCTGGGGGTCTCCTGTGACTGTTAGTGAGCTGGCGTCAGTCTGAGTTAAGTGGTTTGTCTGTGGTGCTCTGTTGTGTGCGTTCCTGTTTCAACCCTTTGGCGATTAGTGAGATGGCTGACCAGAAGGAACAACTCTTTTAAGAAATTCTGGATCGTTCTGCACTTCACTCTTCAAGTCGCAGCAAACATTCACGCGGTTTTCTCTTTGGTCATCTCCGAGCAAGCGAGGAACAAATTTTGCAGACACCCGTCTCATGTGCAAACCTTCGGTTAAAATTCGCTGGACCGTGCTCCATGAGATGTTCGTTTCCTCAGAAAGTTGGTCAATGGTCTTTCGACGATCTTCATCAATTGCACGTTTGATTTTGGCAATGTTTTCGTCATTTCTTCCTGTCGAAGGACGCCCGGGGCGTGGCATGTCTTCTGTTGACATGTTGCTTGATTTGAAACAGGAAAACCACTTGTAGACTTGTGATTTCCCCAAAGCATCATCATTAAAGGCTTGCCAAAGCATCCCAACCGCCTCGGCTGCAGTTTTCCCTAACAGAAAGCAAAATTTCACGCACACTCTTTGTTCCTTCTGGTCGGCCATCTCACTAATCGCCAAAGGGTTGAAACAGGAACGCACACAACAGAGCACCACAGACAAACCACTTAACTCAGACTGACGCCAGCTCACTAACAGTCGCGGGAGACCCCCAGCTAACACCACTTAGCAGCACAACTCGTACCTACAAAGCATGCGCGCGCAACACGTCGTTTCCGGTTATTTTTGGGTCCCCCTTCGTATGGTGGCCTATATTCTTTAACTAAATTCTGCACAAAAGATGCAAGAATGTAATGCAAATTTAAAATTGTTACAAAATACAGACACATGAAGACTTGTACTATCATGTTTATGTTCAATGAAATGTTTGTAAGTTTCGCTTTAAAACAATTAATAAATGCCCCAATTTGAGAGAAAATTACAGATTCATGCAAGTACCTGTGAGGAGTAGTACACAGGAAACCCTGGCCCATTTTGGTACTTCACTAGGAAATCTGGAATGCTGTCATCATTAAAATAACTAGGAGTTGGGGCACTGGAACAGACAGATAACAGTGACACACACTGAGCCAATACATTAAATTTTTGTTTAGTTCTTTACAAATAGCATGTCAAAGTGAAGCAAGGTAATGCCTGTCCATGCATTCATACACATATATCAGTCCAATATTTACACGAAGATTAAATCAGTTATCTTAAAAATGGCTCTCCGTACAGGAATTGGTACCTCACATGAAAGTAGAGATCTCATTATCTCCTTTTTATTTGAATATATTTGATATGGCATACATTTAATGAAAAAACAAAATTATATATTCCTCTATGCCAAATCAGCTTTTTTGACAACAGATTTTAATCTTTATGATATAAATTTTTATTGCTTAGCTGTCACAATTTTTTTTTTTGTAAAATTCTCCAATATCAAATTTCAATGAAACCCATTCAACACCTTTTGTGTTATTTCATGCACAGACAGACATATGGACTGAACAAACTTAATGGGTGCTTTGTGATGCTGCAAATGCACCTAAAAAGGAGAAAATTGTTGCACAGATATTCAGGAATACACTGTATCATTTGAATACGTATAATATTAAAAAGGAAGAAAGAATATTCTGAATAAGCACTGTGGAAAACTGGTATAAAGACTGCCTCCTGGAAGTCCACTTTCTACGGCTTCAGATTCTGAGGTGTTTTACAATACAATCTCACCTAAAGGTTTCTGACCCAGGAAATGAGACGTTCCAGAGGGGCTGGAGGGTGAGTCCATTGAAAGCTATCACCACAGAGTTGAACATGGCTGCCACAACATCTTCTGAGCCATCCTGGTTCAGGTCAGCCAACACAGGAGGAGACATGATACCTTTTGCTTCATCTCTGTACAGCTCCTGAACCTAAACAATCATTGCACTGCTAATGCAACAATACAATATCCACAAACAATAACGTTTCACTAACATGACACTTATGCAATAGCATTTTTATTTCACAGTCATGTCTGATAACTCTTAAAGGTATGTTTGCTTCTTGATTCAGTTAATGGAACTATGTTAACTGCATAAGTTACATAGCACCGAGTACCAAATGAACGCTCAGTATGGTTGCTGAGTTCAAAGCATACTGAAGGAAACTGATATGGTCTATTTTAAATTTCTATCCTGAACTCAGCCTGGAGTAACTGTACCTAATATGTACTGTGACATGATACAGGTAGCATGGAAGGGCACAGCAGAGATGTCTGTTCCTGTCTGTTCCTAGACAACGGTTAGCTAAAACACGTTTCCACAGCAACGAATACGCTTGCACAAAACAAAGCACTGCCCAGAGACTGTAATACATTTTCATGGCAATGGATGAAACAGAGAATATCAGAGGACACTCACTGTTTGACTTGGTGATCTATATTCGGTCTGCATGAAGTTAGCTCAGTCAATCATTCAGACAGCCAGAGAGAGTTTGAGAGAGCAGAGACTCTTCAAGATTCATCTGACAGATATTGTTCGAGGCAGTTCAATAGCTGAAGTGTTATCAAGCAACAACTATGGAAGCAGACGCTGAAGACTTTATTTCGTGTGTTATAGTTACAGTAATCTTTAGAGTGTTATAATTATTTGTGGTTACAACTTGTGAGTATCCAATAAATCTATTCTCCTCCAATCCAAATCGCGTCTACAAGTCACTAATATATGTGACAGTATATTAAACTAAATTTCTTCCCAGGAATATATGTACATCAGATCTACAATGAAAGCATTCCACTACTCATAAAACTAATAATTTGTTATATGAGGTCTGTTACATCTAAATCTTGGGTGTCATAAACCACATTTTCATAACATTAGAGAAGTAATTTAAATTTATAAAATACTGGTTTTAAGAATATCATATAGTATACACTACGGGAAAATGTAAGCCTGAAATGCATATTAATGACAGACAGCACATTACATTAGAAGACCTGAGGTTTTCACGCTGTTGAGTATTTAGATTGAGGCTCTCTTATCTGTGATACTGTGCAGTCTTGTCTGTGGATAAAAACTTTTCGAGGATTAGGCTGTCTCCACCTATATGCAAGTACCCCTGAAATGATGGTATCCACCTATAAGATTACACAGTGTCAAAACCCAGAAAACGTCAATTTAAGTACATGATATCCCTTCTGGTTATAAAATAAACGAAAAAAGTTCTGAAAAAAAAAGTACATTTTACCAGTAATATATTTTAAGTGGAATGAAGAGGAAGGACGATGTTCTGTAAATTTCATAAACTAATCTCAGCCTTCTACTACAAATAAGAATGACGACAATGGTTAAAAAGCATCACACGTGTTTGTGATGACTATGAAAGGTACCATCTTGTGGGAACTGATTCGGTGCAGTCTGATGGCAGTTTCCTGACATTTCAGAGGACACGATGCCTCAATGTTCAAGGTCAAAGAGTAGCTGAGTGTGCTCTCTCTTTCAGCTCACTCTGCTTGCTGCTTCCTTTTTCAGGTTACTGTCTGACCCTAAAGATTATATTCTTCTGAAATGTCACTAAACTTCTACCAAACTTCACAGCAACAAATACCATAAGTATACTACACTTACTATAACAATAAGTGTGGATCATCAGTTACTAATACAGAACATTACATAATCATTAGAAAGTTACCAGATTCTATTTTGAACGTACTTTCAGTATCCACAAGCTGGTAGGAAGTTCAAATACACTTACACAGACTTTTATTCTATAAGTTTGCCTACAAAAGGCTTACCCTGGCTCACAGAGCAGATGGAATTCAGTTCTCAACTTGTGTCTTACCTCCAGCATGTTGCCCTTCACCAGCTGATGCAATGGCACGGCGTACAAGCCTCCAGGACTCGCTTGACCTCCAGTTCCAAACATCACAATACTTGCACCATCTAGGTATACCAATACTTGTGGGGCATAGTAGGTCTCCTCTTGATGTGGGGTTGCCACTTTCTGTAGGAACTTGCCTTCCTTTCCACTTATCAACACCAGACAACCTGTTACAAAGGGACTTACAAATAAAAACTCAACTCTACAATTGTGTGATTCACAGTTACAACTGAAGATAAGAAAACTGCAACAATGATTATAACCTTTATTTTCTAGAAATTAATAATGGCAATGACAACAATGATGATGATGACAACATCAACAACAAAAACATCCATTCATAACCTGGAGTTTTCTTAAAATATATAGTAAATATATACTTAATTCTCATTATACTCTTATGAATATAGATTTACAATGAAGGTAAGGGAAGGGAAGAGACCACTTCAAAGGCACAAGCATAGGTGAGGGAATAATATTAAAGTGGATTTTAGAGAAATGGGGTAAGAGTCAGTAAGACTGAATTAACGGACTGAGAACAGGGAAAAGTGGCTGGCTTTTGTGAACACTGTAATGAATCTTCACATTCCATGAAAGGTATGAAATTTCTGGACTAGCTGAGTGAGTATTAGTTCATCAAAAGTGGGTGAATGAAGAAATACATACATATTGTCACGTTTTGGGTATGTCACGCGACAAATAACTTTACGTGGGTCTCGGATTTAATGAATCTTTATTGGATACTTGTTCTTGCACTCTTTACAATTATTATCAGTTGTAGTACCACTTGGCTTCAGTCTCAATACTCGATTCTCAGTTCTCTAATACTCTCGGTGTCTAGGTTCCAACTGTGCTGTTGCTGTCTGTGGCTTTCTGCTTATGTAGGTGTTCTGCGGACTCAGTAGAGGACACCCCTCGCCAAGGTTCGATCTCACGTTTTCGGCAATCCATTGCTTCGGGAACGCTCTTTATACGCTGGTAATGAGTTTCATCTCATCCATTGTTACTAAACGGCCTTCTGTTACTCGTCTCTGGGGAGACATGTTCATGGTTTCTGCAATTCCTACGCAACAGCCCACTGTTATTGAGTTACCATGGAAGTATCTACTCCAGACACGTTACATTATAATTAAAATCTACAACCTTTAAAATATTCCCAAATGTATTCTAAAATACAGTAGAATTTTAGATTCCACCCTGGGTCTCAAACAGATGGTATGGTTTACAAAAATGCACGCAGCAAAATGAAATTATGGTACATTACTATACCATCAGGAAACAATCAACACTCAAATGAAAAATTAAATATTATAAATGCTATATGATCGACCTAATCGGCTAGAAACCTTAGAAGTTGAAACGGAAGAAGAAGTAGATACAGACGAGAAAGGACCATATATTTTACAAAGTGAGGTGGAAAAAGCTATCAAGGAAATGAGGAAGGGAAAGGCTACAGGAGATGATGTACCTGGAGATGTGCTCAAGTTACTGGGAGAAGGTGGTTTGAAAACACTGACAAAACTAATGAACACCATATATGAAAGTGGAGAGTGGCCCAAGGACTTTACAGAAGTTACAATGATTGCCTTAAAGAAAAAGACAAAAG